AGGAAAGCTAAACAGTCAGCGAAAAGTAAACGTTTGGAGTTGTCCTTCAGTAGCATGTTGATTAAATAGACGATTGGATTGAGGCCTTGAGTAGCTGTTACTCTTTTAATTCCAAGCTTTCGTCGATCTTCGGCATCGTCAGGTATTGTAAAGAAAATATTCCACTGTGCGTGGTATAAAAAGCGGTGTAGGTGACACAAATAATTAGAATATATAACCACCTGGAGGTCCTACAGTAGAGAAAGAAAGGAACGGGGCGGCCTGGAAATCATGCTCTGTCTGTAGCGGTCAGAGAAGACAAGAAGCGCTCTGTAGGGGCCTTATGCGAAACCTGGTCACAAAAGAGATGGCTGAAGGTGATAAGAAGGACAACGAGTTGTACAAATGTGGCGATGGCAACACACAAAAACACAGAAAATCGCTAATGAGTAGTGGCAAGAACAAAAGATCTATTGTAAAGCTGTTCACTTTAAAATTATTCGTGTCACCTACACCGGATGCGTGCTGAGAAAACCCACGCGTGGGTTCAGAAGGGATTTCTGAGTTGCACAAATGCTGTGATGGCTGAACTACATTTGATTCAGTAAGAAAGCGGAAAAGGTACCAGCTTGCGCATGCCCCGAACTATGAAAATATCCTTAAATTCCAAACTTCCAGTAACAAACCGAACTGCAGGAAACAAATGCCTCTTAGCCTGATGTTCACTGGGATTTAAAAGATTAAGGGAAGTCGTAACCAACCTCATGGGTTATAGCTGGAATAGCTCCGTTGGTTATAGCTGGAAAAGCTCCGTCAGCTTGAGAGGTGAACCAAATCCCGATCTGTGATTGGTTACCCGAGCGGCCAGGACCATGCCCGCTCAGTGTTACCCGCGGTGTCCCACAGGAAATGATGTTCTTACTGCCATGTCATAAATTCTTTATTGACCAAGCTTGATCGGTCACGATGGCTGGATATCGGCCTCGTTCTTCTTGTGCTTGTTTATTGACCTCGACTATGTTTCGGTCCACAAACTCGCAATAAAGAGATAATCTAAGGCAATCATGGCTTCACGCTAGGTCACGCAGTAACCAACACATATTACCTTGCGCCGCTGAAAGAAAATCCTGCCTAGAAAAAGCGATCCCTGGGTACGATGGAGATTAACATGGCTGATTCAATATGAGACTCCTTGAAACCAAATACGCTCACCAACTCTCCCCCTCTCCCCTGAGCAGGCCGGAAGGGGTTTAAATGGCAATTTTGAGATTCTTAGGGTTTAACCTTTCGGCCAGCATTTTTACAGTTGTTTTGGGAGTTGAAGATGAATATCGATTTGTACATCATAAGCTTGCGTGCAGACGTCACTTATTCCGCTTAAAAGGAAATGAATGTCTGCACGCAAACCATAGACATCATTAGAGGTCATAAAGTGTTTCCTTTCCAGCTTCCTTTTGGTGCTTAAATCTTTAAATAGCTTACCGTTAGAGGTTAGAAATATGAATTCTAGAGTTTTTGTTAAACAAGACGTCAAGGAACTTTGTCATTTGTAGTTTTGATATCTGATTTTTTATGTGCTTTGTACTGACGTAGTTTGCTAAATTCTTACGTTTGTTAATTGTTAAGTATTGCAGGGCCCCTTTGATAACAGTACTATTAGTACTGATGGTTTATCCTGTTTAAAAATTCGTTTTATTATTATTAATTACCATCCTTCAGTATAATATATCAACAAATAAACTTCATGTGAGAAAATTTCAGCTTTTCGTATCAACACTGCTTTCAAAATCTTGCACAAATAACAATGCGGTACATGCATGCTGTGCTTCATTTTGTCTCCAAGCTTGGAAAAAGCCTCCTGTCTGGTGGATGATTCACAATATATCGAAGATTTTTAGGGTTTAATTTTAATCGATAAATAAGGGCCTGAGTTTGTACCTTCCGCCACCGGAGTACCTTCTCACCCGCACCCCGGGACGAACTCTCGCCAAGCATAGTTCAGAATCTGCCTACAGCAACGACAATGAGTGTATGATCTTTGCATTACGACAGGAAATAGCACTGGAGGTCCGCTATGCTGGTCGGCTAATATCATAGTGGTTACATAAAAGCAATTTAACAACAGAAGCCTACCAATGGCTCCACAATCGAAGATTAATGATCGTTACGGCTATTAATCTGCTCCGCCCAATATTTCTACAAAGCCCTTTGTCTCTCTCCTCAATAAGTCTTTAAATGAGTACAACCTGACTTCATCTTTGCATAGCGACTACACAAAACGCCATGAAATAAAATTTTAAGTGCATAAAACCGGCAACAATCAGTACCAAACTAGTTTGGAGGTGACAAATTAAAACACATTATTAATTTACTCGATTAGGTCAAGAAACTCAAATGTTATTGTCTCTCACCAAGAACTTGCATGCAAAGTAGGTCATACATAGTTCATTACTATTAAGTTTCTATCAGAGCAAGTGGAAGATATAAATAGAAACAGAATATTTTTTCAACGTTAATGACCCACTGTCTTCTATGTCTGCAGATGACATCAAATCGCTATTTGAAAATGATTCCCAAACTTTCCAGTATTTTCATTTTGTGCTTCCTTCCTCATTTCTCCTAGTAGAATTGTCAATAAATCGGCGAGAGGTCACCGTTAAAGAGATATCCGGTCAGGTAATTGGTCGACATCTAACATTTTGTTCCTTGAACAAGACCGCAAATACCTACACTTTCTTAACTCTGTCCAGTCTTCTGTGGGACAGGTATCGGTGGAAAACCCTTTTCCATTCACCTGCCACCGCTTCACGTCCGTGTCACTGTGTTTC